ACATATCTGAAGATATCAGAAGTAAAACGAATATTGTAAATTTGCCTTGAACATAAATGTACTATATACAGTACTAATATACTATTCATAAACTATTTATCTTTATCATAATAATTCTTTCCAAGTATATATCAAAGAAAACCTGATATGCAAGGATAATTCTGCTTACAGAATCGGAATTAACTTAGTAGATTTATTCAAGTATGACATTTGCTTGGGTAGGACACAAAAGGTTTTTTTTTTGCCTAGTGTAATTTGAAATCATTAAAAGAAAATATGGACAAAAATAATAAAACTTTAACAGCTTTTATTTACAAAGCAGAAGAATTACAAAGATCTGTAGCACAGGAAGCTAAACCACAATTCAAGTCACATGCAGCTCTTTGACATTTATTGTTATTTAATGTGCACCTTGTAAAAACATTGGCAGAGTTTGTTTTCTTATGTTTAATGTAAAAGGTAAATAAGAAGAACAAATATAAAGCTTTATAATTATTTACTGGATATGAACTTCAATCCACCATATTAAAATGCAAGTTTAATGATCATGATGTCTTCAGTGAGGAGGTTAATGAATAGTGGAGAAAACTGAGGATATAAAGGAATTTCAGGTCAGTAAGTGGTACAAGGGAATATTCATGTAACTTTTACACAAGTTGGTCATTTCTTTTAAATGACAAAGATTAAATAATTTTTTTTTTAACTGAAAAATGGAGTTTTTTTTGGTTTCATCTTCACACCATGAAACTGTATCAAAATTTTTTTACGAAACTGAAATCATTTGGTTTAATTGACTAGTATTAGGAAATAAATGTGAAATCTATTTGTTTACAAAAGAAATGAAGAAAAAAAGGAAATGACATGACACTTGGAAATCATAGAATGTTTTCAAACAGACAAAAAAGGAAAATATAACATGATGTCTGAAATTGAAATCTATTTGTTTCAGTTAAAAAAAAAAAAAACTTTTGTGGTAAAATTAATTTAACAAAATAATGAGTAAAAAAAAATAAAAAAAAAAATAATTGCCAGTTTCATCTTAATGTTAAATTTTATGAAGTCAGATTTTTTTTGTAAAAAGGGAAATTGTTTTATGCCAGTACGCCAATCATGAAATAAAATTGTTGTAAACAAGAATAATGAATGAAGATTTTTTTTTCTATAAATGTTTTTTTATCTAGAGAATGCACCTAAATTAGATATTAAGAATAATTAAAATAGTTCTTAATTTTATTTCTAAAATGTGTATATTTCCAGATATATGAGTCTCTAGTGTAAAATTGCTTGTTTTTTTACAAATAAAATTGTTTCTATCTAGTGAATACACCTAAAATTAGATATTAAAAAAAAATCAAGTCAAGTTTTAATCTCAGTTTTAAAACGTGTATATTTTCAAAACTGCAAGTCATTTTTTTTTTAAAAATCAAAGTAAAAATTATTTTTTTTAGCCACTAGTGTTCGGTGGGTGTTCTGCCTATAAAATTCTTCTAAACGAGGAAAATCAATTCATTTTATTTAAAAAAAATATCTTTATGCTTTTATTTAACGAATACACTTAAGATTATATATTATAATGATGAAAATAGATTTTAATTTCAGTTTTAAAATGTGTATCTAAAAAAAGAACAGGTGATACTTGCAGATTTGGAAATATACACATTCTGAAAATGAAATTAAAAGTTTTTAATTATTTTTAATATTTAATTTTAGGTGTATTCACTAGATAAAAACAAATTTATTAGGGGGGGAAAAAAAAAATAACTTGTTGATTTGCCTTGTTTAGAAGAAATTTATTTGCAAAACCCTAATAACAGTTGACTGGCTTACCAGAAAAGAATTGCCATATTTTTAATTATTTTAAACATGAGGAGGGTTTCACTTTTTGGCTTTTTAAAAGCCACATCATAAGCTAATTTCTGGAGAGCTATACCATTTTCTCTCTCAAATGTGTTGTCCAAAGACACAAATATAGATAGTCAATGTGACGATTTTGTTTGTATTTTACTAATTTGTTAATAACTAAAGTAGTTATTTATAGTTGACAATTTATTTGAAAGTTTAATAAATAAACTTTAATTGAAAACAAGTGTCTGTCAGTGTCAGACAGTAGTTTCAATAATTTGAAAGTTCTTTTACCACACATTTATTACTATCAGTTGCTCTTTTTTTTTTCCTTACTTTATAATTTTTGAAGTAATTCGCCCATGGGTCAGAGAAGAAATGAACATTTTCCTGGTTGCAGTTTAAGTTGTCTTCTATTTGAGTGTACAATTTCAAGAATATTAATAAAAATTGGTCACTTTTGTGAAACAACGTAATGTGTAAAATTTAGTCTCAAAAATAAATAAAAAAAATAAATAAAAAAAATAAAATTTTTTTTGCATTTTTGGCAGTTCGAAGCAAAATACCATTTTAACTCGCTGTAAAAAAAGTAATTTAATGAATTATACAAATTACATATTTAGAAAGATTATTTTATTTTCTTTCCAGCCACATGAATATTTTCAAGATTGACCAGAAATACACGAGAAATTACGAGTTGAATGGACTAAGATGCAAATTTATCAATCTCAAACAAAATCAGATATCGACTGGAAATTCTTTCATCACACAAGAAAATGAATAGCTTCCTTAGAACGCAAAGATACTAAAATCGATTTGAAAAGCGCGGTATGAAGGAGGGGGGGGAGAAAAAGAAAAAGAAGGAAACTGATACTGAAACATAAATTGCCAAACGTGCCAACTCTAGTTTGAAGTGAATGAAAAGTATAAATACCAAAAGAGTAAAATTACTAACCTTTGTATTCAGTTTCAATACAAGAGCCTTCCAAGCCTGGAATACTTTGCACAACATCCTCTGCCTGAAATTAAAGGTAAAAATTTTAAAATTGCTACACCTATATTGCACTTCGTCCACATCCCTCCCATTCTGAACCTTATTTTCAAATGAACTGATCTCATGCATCTATTTCTTTTTTGTTCAATTTTTATATACAAGAAATCTTTTAATCTTCCAATAAAATTAATTTCAAGTTTTTATAAGCTTCAATAAAGTGCAAAAATATTCCCAATTCTTGACATTTTGATCTTTTATTAAACTTTGATTCTAAGATTTGTGCAATATTTATTTGCACAAGTTCAATAAATAACTAACAAGAAAACTTTGATCTTAAGAAAAATAGATTTTGCCCTTTTGCTGTCATCAACAAATGATACTTTAAAATCAATGGGAAATTAAGCTGAATAATCAATGCTAGATCATTTTCTAAAAGGTTTGTGTCATTAGCTTTAAATACAGTTTTATTTCGCCATATATTCTGTGTGCAGCATTCTCTTAAGTGGGATTTATCCAAGCTAGATGTCAATAATAATTAAAGGTAAAATAAATTCAAAAAAAACTTATCAAACTTCTTCAATCAATGTTAAGCAAACAGTAAATTAAATTTCAATTTATCAGCAGAAAATTAGATAAGTAAAATATATTATTGTTGTAACCTAAGAAAGGTTACTGAATAGAATAATCAAACAAAGGTTGATAATGAATGATAATACTTAGGACAAGAACAACACATATAAGATTCAACAGAAGTGCGTAGAAGAAGTAGTCAACTGCTAGAAGTGAGTCAAGTGAATTCCACAATGAATCTCCAACTGCAGACCAACATACAGTATTTATTACTGTATTTATGTGAATGGGGACATACCCATTATTGTCCGTAGGTATGCTACAACTATATAAGATAAATTTATGTTGTTTTCTAAATTTCTTTCTTTTTAACTAAAGTATTTTGAAAAGCCCAAATACTTTTGAATAAATATTCAAAAACTGCCATTCCATTCAGTGTTACCAGTTTCTCTCTTACATTGATGTTGACTATTACTTAGATATTTCCAGCCATTATTAATCCTTTAATATAACCTTTTCCTTTTCAGGCTGTGCACCAATGACCTGGAGATAGAGAATTAAAATCAAATCGCCAGTCAGTAAAACAATTAAGGAAATTACCAATAAAACTAAGAAATATCCAACTTTCAAAGAAAGGCAATTTTTTTTAAATGATATCAGTGCTTGGCTGTAGGTAGTATTTTTGGTTTCTTGTAGATGTTATGAAAATTAAAACTATAATGACAAGTTAAAAAAATATGATGTACTGCCTTATTAGTATACATCATATTTTAACTTAAACGTCATTATAGTGTTACTGTTTAGAACTCATGAAACAATTTGACATATAGACTTTAATAGACTTCTAAGGGAAAACTACATGGAGCTTTCACATATGCTATACTATCTGGATCAAAACACTCACCTTGGTTGGTATTATACTGATGTTTTGGCTGTTGTAATCTTAACATGTTTTATGATACTCAGAAACCACCTTGGAATTTTGAACTAAATCCCCTTATTCATTTGTGAGTGAGTGAGTGAGTGGGAGAGAGACAGAGAGAAGACTGCTCATCCACTGAATGAGAATGGCCACCAGGTCATAGCTGATGAGAGATCATTCACAATATCTGGTAACCTAATTGCACCCATGTGAATGTTCAGTGTTGAGCAAGCTCTGAATGACTATGTGGACTGTCAGCATCGCCTTCATCCAATGACAAGAACCATGTAAGAAAATTAGAGACAGCCTTTGTGCATATAATTCAAGTAGTCTGATAGTAAAGCACTGTTTTTATTGCCTGAATCATTATATATATATATATATATATATATATATATATATATATATATATATATATATACACACACACACACTCTTTACATCAACAGAATGATGAAATACCATAAATTACTATTTGCTTAAAAAAAAAAAAAAAAAAAAAAAAACTTGAAAGAATATACTCCTGAAATTATATTTTTAGCTGATTTTTTTCTCATTAAATAACTTAATTACCCTTAGCTTATTTTAAAATTGTATAAATTTCAAAAGATATTACTGTATCTTGACACTACCCATACATTTTACATTAAACAAACATCAAAAAAGTGCTTGCTGAAGTAAAAGATCCATTGCATTTATTAAATGCAGCAAAATATAAAATAAATATGAATTATAGAAAGAGCCATTTGTAGTAGCCTATTTAACTCCACTTTATACCTTTTATCTCTAAGGTAAGGTTTACTTTATGCTATCTACCGAGTGTCTCGTCACATATATGGATTCTTGGTGAGGTTTTTGTAATGAGTTCCACAGAGTGGAATGACTCACCATTCAACTCTGAGGAAAAGTTGCTTTCTATCAGAATTTTCTTCTACTTAAAAAGACCAGACCATATGTTCCCATATTAAAAATCTGCATCTAGTAGAATTTGAGAATTCATAGTTTTTCTCCTAGACTGGTTACCAACCAAGGCTGAAGACCATAGTCTGTCCTACTATCTAGCCCTTAGCTGGGAGGAGAAGAAATGGATTCATACTTTTCAAGAGTATTTGCCTGAAAGCAAATGTATCTAACTCAAATGGATTTCAAACCCAGCTCTATCTCTCTCATTCTGAGCCACTAACCATCACATCTCCAAGGTTTAATTCATTTTATCCAATCCTACACTGCTAAGAGACAAGTAGTACCTTGTCTTCACGTATACTTTGGCAAATACGAATCAATATTTGGAATGCAATAGATTCCAGTGGTTTTCAAATGGGTGCAACATCAAGATTGGAAAAAAGAATTGCCCCTTTCATTCAGGTCATACTAGTTTAAGATAATTTGAAAAGCTGGTGAAAACAGTGTCATACCAAAGTATTTGATAAAAGCATTATAAAGTAATGGCAGGAGAGGCACTAATCAATTAAATACTTTTACCTTCTGTGCCATAATGCAGTATCCAGTTTATCGTCAGTGGCACTTGATCTAAATAAAAATAAATAAATAAATTAATAATAATAATAACTATATATATATATATATATATATATATATATTAGAAGGGAAGAATAGGCTGTGGAGTAGAGAAACAATTAAGAAAGAGTGTGTAGAGAGAGAGAGAGAGAACAATCAATGAAAATCAATAGAAAAACAAGAACATAAATTTCTATACCTACAAATTTTACTTATTACAACAAAAGTGAAAGAATTTTTTTAACCTAGTAGTAATTTTAGTATTAAAATTACTTATGCTTACCTTACACTACAGTATTTATAGTCATGGTTTCTTTGAGACTTCCCTGAATTTCGCCTAAATAAATATAAAATGATAAATTAATGCTTTATTATTATGGTGATGATGCTTGAACTTTTAAGTTTTTAAAACATTCTTAAAGTTCATGGTATTTTTAGATATATCACAATGGCCATTATACCCATTATTTTTCTGTAACTACACAAATTGATACTTTAGAAAATTAATTTTTATTTTTTATTGGTACAAGTTATCACATCTATTTTGTAATAATTTCTTTTTAATTGATATTTAACAAAAAAGGTAAAAAGAAATAATTTGTAAGGCATTGAGACAATTAAATAATGACAGCAATAAATCAACTCACCTTTGATAAGATCTGAGAAACCTCCTGTTACACTGTTCAAGATTTAGGAAATTATGTGTTGTAATGGCACTCAATGCACTGCGTAATACTTTTAGGTCACTGGCTGCATTGTCATTGTACACACAATCACCACACTCATAGCTGAAAATAAAACATGCTATGTGACTGTCAGGCTTGTGCTGTCTTCAATTATCACTTTAGACTGAATATTAAACTATAACAATACACAGTTAATCAGAAACAATTAAAATAGAATTCTAACAATTTAACTTGACCAGTGTTTGGATGCAGTTACAATAATAACTAAATGTTTCATTAATAAAAGAAGCTGATTATAAATTCAGTCAGATATAGCTTCTTTTTTTTTTTACTACACAAGGTGTTAATTATAAGTGGCTGGGTTAATAAGTTTGTAGCTTCACATAAAGCCATCTGAAATTTTCACTGTATAATGTTCAATCTATATAGTTAAAAGTCATCATTGAATTAAGTTCATTGACAAAGGAAATTATGTTGAATAAATATTTGTTGTGTAAAATACTTTCATTAGACAACAGATTTATTGAATTAGCATTTGTTATTGAGCTGAATCTCATATTTGGTGTATCAATGAACAGATGTACATTGAATCAGGTCATCAGCAATATTTTATTTCTCACAACAATTTTTTTAACATAAAAATGGATCTAGCACTTTGTGTGTATAATGATATTTTATAAGTAGCATATTCACATTTAACATTACAATATTATGGAATTAGATTTAGTATATGTTGAGAAATCAACATTTTTATAAATTTATATATAAAAAACAACAAAAAACATTCCTAAAACTAAAAGATTAACTTATTTGCTTTGAAGTTATTTACTTCAAAGGGATTGATTAAGTATTTAATATTTACAATCTCAAATATTTTATTTTTGCTATTAAAAACTTTATTATGTAAATATGATGGTTTCTGTTGCTAGTGTTTGCCAATAACATTTCTGGTTGAATTTTATACACTTGAACCAATTCCATAAAAAAAAAAAATTTGCTAATGAACAGTAGTACTGAATATCACATACTAATAAACAAATCCATACTAATTTGGCCTTTATAAATTCATATTAAACTTATGTTATCAGATATATTGTAATTGGTTGAAAGTTAATTTCAGTTAGAAAATACATATTAGAGTAATGTAATTAGATGAACTGAAACTACCATACTTGATGACATATAAGGCGCACTTTTTTTTTACTAAAAATATCTTTTAAAATTCCCCTGCATTTTATATGCCATATGCAGGTTTACTAATTTTACTAATTTGCCCTGCTGAAATTGGGGTGCATCATATACACCCATACTTCTTATATGCCACCAAATATGGCAATCAATAATTTTACTAAAGAGGAAATTATCTGAAGTGAGTTGACACAATCCTGTCCGTTTATATCCGATACTTGTACACTGAAGCGGGTAAAAGACAATTCAATCATTGTATCAATCCATCACTTCTGGCATTGTTGATTGGGATGATTGACATGCTGTGATATACACAGAAGAAATTTATATGTGAAGTTATAACTTTCATTTTTCTTTAATCAACATAAGAAAATTCAATAAAATTTATTGGCTAAAACTAAGTGAAATTAAATTTCCACTCTGAGGGTTTCCAGGTCTCCAAATATTTGAGAAACACTGGATTAGAATAAGCAAATTCTTATTTTAGAAATTGCAAGAAATTAGTTTCTAATGCTGATATCACTCACAAATAATAGAAGAAATTGTTACATACTTACCAGTAAATAGATTGGTCATTCACTTCCAATGTCAATGCATGCTAAAATAAAAGCAGAACAAAGAATTTCGGTTGAACCAAATTTCTCTTTTCATTTAATTACAGAAAATAGAAAAACTACAGTAGCACGGATATGTATATAGACATTTACTTACAGGTATACATATGTGAAATTTTACAGGTATTAGAAATTATTTTCTTGTGTTAATTACATTACCAAATTATTACTTTATTAATGAAATTTGATAATGATAAAAACCATGCTGAAAAACGGTGAACAATTATTTAACATTAGTTTTAATAAATGTATAAACAAAGTTGTTCAAAACAATTATGCATATAAAAATAAGTTAATTCTATAGTAGCAGAAATGAATATATTGCAAATACTAGTAAAATAAAGAATTTGTGTGTAGTGGGGGAACAGAAATATTTACCCATCTTTTGTTGTTAACATAGTCAATGATCTTGAATCAAATCTTTCATATATAGAGAAAAAAATGACTAAGTTTTGCAAAAATGAAAATAACATTGACATCTCATTTTAAGATATATTTACCAAAATTACACAAAAATATCTTGAAAAACTAAAGAGTAAATTTATTCAATAAAATTGCCATTAGCTTCAACCACAACCTCCAGATGACTTTGGAATCTCTTGCAACTCTTCTGGACATCAGTTCATCTTTGGTGTTACAAGGGGTTTTGTTAACTGTACCTCACACATAATAAAGGAGGTTGCAGTCTGGAGAGTTAGATGGCCAGATGTAAAGGGTGATTGCAGTAGTTGTAGTTGCAAAAATTGTCTGAAAGTCATGACTGGGTTTTCCTGCTTGTGTGGCATGGTGCAGTCCTGTTGACAGACAGAGTCTTCCAGCAGCCACCCTCTTGACCTAAGGCAGCATTACCTCCTCAAGGCACCTGATGTAGGCCTCAGTGATAAGTCTGAAGCCCACACCAACAAATTCGGGAGTTCTTTTCTTATCAGAAAAGATTATAAAAGTTTTCTGAGCTGCTGTACCTTCATAATGACCATTAGGCTCATCAACTCTTTTCAAATTCTCTGCACTGTCCTCAGATTGACACGCAAACATGTTCATATTGGAGCTTCTGGTGTGAATGCCAAGCAGTACAGCATGAAGTTTCCAAATTTCTGGAGGAGTGAATTGTGTCATGGTGTTCTTTTTCTCAGAGGGTGCCCAACTGACCCTACTATACTGTGCAGTCAACAGAATCAAAAAAATAAACAAACAATGCACATGTGCAAAATTAAAAATATAAAATGGCAACAATTTAACCCATTGCACACTGTATTGCATAAGCACATAAATAACTAAGAAACAGACACAATACTATTAAGACAAAACAAAAAGTACCTGTTTTTCTTTGAAGTGCTTAAAAGCATGTCCTTTACTTAAAATACCACAGGCAACATTTGGGCATGATAAACAGGCCTAGAGAGAAAACACAAATTAAAGGAAATCCATTAAAATTTAAAAGAAAATTTTTAAAAGGGAAGTTGACTCCTATATTTTCTTGGTTATAATTGCATTAATTATATTAATACAAAGTACAAAAAATAGCTTCCATGACCACGTAAATAAGATAAATATTATCAATGTATATGGAATCAAATAAAGAGAAAGAAGTTTTGAATATATTTCAGTAACGGAAAATATGAAATTTAAACTTAAAAGTTACACAAAAATTTGAGATATTCCAAGACTGAAGATCATATTTACAACTCAGAATTAAGAAAGTATATAAATCTATTTATTTGAAATTCAATCTTGGCATTTGCATTCCCTAAAGAAAATTTGATTTTGTGTGAACAAAATTTTTCATGTGGCTTAAAATTAACTTGTTCCATATAATAAAAAATTCATAGAAATTCTGTGAACATTCCATGACAAATTGTAACTTGCAACAAAGAATACAAAAAATACCAGGATTCATGTGCATTGTATGTGTTTATGTGGAGAGGAGGGGATTAAATCAATAATTAATTCTCAAGCACCAATCAATTTCTAAGTGATAAATTCTGATTAGTCAAAATTAAAAAACATGAATACTTATACTTAGTTTTCTACTAGATATTAAATCACAGATGTTAAACTATACAAAAATGTGAGTTGAGAGAAGTTTAAAAAGGTACCTATAGGGTTAAAATAGGTACCTCCACAAGATTGCTAAAAAAAAGAGCATAGCATGATGAAAAAGACGCCAAACTTGACGAAAACAAAATTTTATCGTCTAAATGTTTGTTATTATTAAGAGGAAAGGTCAAAGTATTTTTGGGGTATTTTTTTCCATTTTTTTTTATCATTCCTAGCACGTCCGAAATTTTTGTTAAAAATCTAGTTTTTTTTTGAGTCAGCAAAATTGACCATTTTTTTTCCATTTTAAAAAAAAAAAAATCTGACTTTGAAATTTTTTTAAATATCAATTATCATTTTTTCAAAACTTATTTTAAGAAAATCAGAAATTATAATTTTATTTAAAATATTTTGAACCAAACTTAACTTTTTTGTGCCAAAAAGATGTAATTTGAAAATAAAACAAAAGCAGGTCATAAACTTTCGCGTCTCTTGACATGTGATGAATGATATATTTATGAATTCCATGAGGCTAATTTGTTCTACGGAAGGAGAAAAGTGAAATAATTTACATTTACGTGAACAAATTATTTACCCCTGTTATTTTTAACAAAAACTTTCAGCGGTCTAATTTTTTTTTTTTTTTTTTTACTTAGCTTTCACCTTTACGTTTATGATGCTTTATGGGAAATATATTCTAAAGAAATTAAAATAAAACTGTTAAGAGTGACATTAAATTTCATATTTCTTAAGAAAGGTATCTAATTAATTTATAGGTACCTTTCTTATGAAATTTTATCAGAATTGTACATAAAATACTATAATTTTATGTACATTTATTATATTCTACTGTTATTTGTATTTGCATTCATTTTATTATTAATTTTGATATTTCATTTATGGAAAAAATCGTAACTGAGATTAATATAAAAATAAGATCATATAAATTTCATAAGATGATACTGATACTTGTAGGTACCCTTCTCAGTTGAAATTGAAAAATCAAATTAACTTCTCCACACGTGTTTCGCAAAAAAGTAAAGGCCTTAACAGCGGAGAACAATGCTTAACTCAAATAACGCAACTTAATTATATTCTGGTTGGTCTTCCGTATTTTATAACTACAGCTCGATTATAAGCACAAAATTACATTTCTTAATTACTGGGGATCTTCTGATTAGTCAATTTACAACGCGCTAAAAAAAGATCTATCTCATAAGGACACTTATGAAAGCCGATGCGGCTTTTTAACTAATTTTATAATTTTTAACAACTTAAATGTAAAATCTATTATAATTAATGAAATAACAAATAATTGTATTAAAAATTCATTTTTTCATCGAAAAAATTTTTTTGCTTTCAGAAAATATTGTCCATATTCATAAAAAACAACTAAAAGCAAATAAAAGCATTTGAAATTAAATAATCTATTTGTTTTATTGAGTTTTGTATGTTACAATTCAGAGCTGATTTTCAGGTACTGCGTATCCAATTAAAAACAAAAAAAAAAAAACAAAAAAAAAACAAAAACAAAAAAAAACATGATTTGCATTGCTCAAAGCCCTGTGCTTTTAATTATTGTAATCACTAAAACTGATGTGATCGAATTTCTAGCGTTTTCATAAAATTAGTTATTGGGGGAAATAAATATTTAAAAAAAATATTTCTACCATGACTTTCATAAAAAAAACATTTATAATAATTTCGATCATCTGTGAATAGTTCCTGAAAGTTTCATTAACATCTGATAATTATTTCTATTTTTGCACGATTTTTCAAATTAATGTGTGTCATACCAAAAAAAACGTGCTAAAAATTGTCTGTTATTTACTAGTTCCGCTGATACAAATAGAAACAAGGTTTTTTTTTTAATCAAAATTTAGAATGTTCTAAAAAGAAGGAAAATTTTTTAAAAATAATTAAAAAAAAACTTTGGTCTTTCCTCTTAATAATAACATAAGCATTTAGACAATAAAATTTTGTTTTCAGCAAGGTTGGCGTCTTTTTCATCAAGCTATGCTCTTTTTTTAGCGATTTCGTGGAGGTACCTAGGTTAAAAGAAAGTACCTATTTTGTACCAGATTTTAAAGAAGCATTAGAAAAATAAATAAAAATAAAAAGATTTGTATGTGTATAAACATGGATTTAACAAGTTCAATATTAAAATATCTTTAGAGAATAAATTTATTTCCGATTTGAGAAAATTGTTTCATTTTAAAAAATTATTTATATGGGGAAGTATGTATATTTTCCTTAGACTTTTGTACAATTTTCAATATGTAAAAATTTAAAACAAACTCAATTTATAACAGTCAACTGATTATCCCACTGGTAAATAAGTGCAAAGTTCACTGCCATTCTACTCCAAACAGCTAAATAGTGTGATTAAAATCTTGTTGGTATGCTCAAATAGATAGTATTTGATACTGACTCAATCCAAGAGCTGTAATTAAGTTGGAAGCAATGTTATTCATATGTTATGGCTATAACTCCCAAATTCTTTAACTAAATAGAAATAATACAAATGAGAGGGTGCTGAAAAGTTCTTGGGCCTAGCAAAGACTCCCACCATCCACAACAAAACACTTATATTTGGTTATTTGGCCTGATTTTGTGAAGTAGGCCAGAGTGATAAATTTTCAGCACCCCTTCAGACATAGTTTGAATACAAAGCCTACAAATTTGAAAGGGAACAATTTCTAATCTTCTGTACATTTAAGATTGCAATTAAGAATTTTTTTCTTCTTAAGTTATATAAGAAAAAAATGTAAACTATAAAGACTACCTATTCTTACATGGGCTCATTGAAACAGGAAATATTATTAAAATACACATTCATATCAAAAATTTAAAATAAATAAAATTAAAAAATAAAAAGGAGGCAGATTCTAATATAATTCCCGACATCTAATTTCAAGCAACTTTCTTGGGTTTCAAAATATATTCCAACACAGATTGGTCTTCACTAAGCATTTAATTTTAAAATGCTACGAGTAAATTGCTAAAAAAAAAAAAAAAAAAAACACACCCTTTTATTAATGAAGAATTTATAAAGTTTAACCTTTTTTGTTTAAAGCATTAATAGATTTTCATCTCTAATAAGCATAGACCTGTCTATCAAAACTTGATATACTTCTTTATGTTCTGATTTTTACAATTTTTCTTATTTAGTGGTTAATCTTATTAAAATTTGATAAAGTTTTTTACAACATGGCAAAAAATAGAGAGAAAACAAATGTTATGACAGAAAGAAAAGGTAAACAGCTGCCAAAACTGTTTATGTATAATTGATATGTTATTAAGAGCAAAAAAATGGAATTAGCAAGCAGAAATAATTAAAATAAAATACTTCTGAATAAACTAGTTTAAATTTAATGTTGTACTCCTTTTGATGCATAAAGCAATATTTTAGTAATTATGCAACAAGGGGCAATGGAAGTAACAAAATTTTGTCTTGTTAATGAAAAAGGCTTCATAAAATGTAACTAATGTTACTATGACAAAAAAAAAAAAAAAAAAAAAGAAAAAAAATAAGAAATGAAGTCATTTTTGATAGTATTATTCAAAAATTAGTAGCAGAAATTGCATATAATGCAATTCATTAGTATGTAGAAACATTTATGAAGTGGATTTCACTTCAGTTTTGTATTTCTAGTTTTTAAAAGATAAAGTTTAATATATATGGTAAATCTGTCTGAATCAAATGTACATATATTTAAGTTGTATAGCCTTGAAGTAAATTTCTGAACAGAAATATTTTTTTTTAGATGTTATCCAAATTTCTTGTTCATCTTCAATGTTTGTAATTCTATCTCTTTATGAAAATATTAAAGCTCTGGTTTTAATGTCACCAAATAGAAAATAATTAAAGACCTCACAGACAAGAGCATATTTACACTTTTAGTTATTAATAGTGAATAAGAGCATTTACTTCAGATGTTAGGGGTGGCAAAACATGTTACTCTTATCAAACTCTTAAATTATCAACTTTCACTATTGACAAAAACTTCTCAAATAAGCCTATTCTGAATATCAGCTTTATAACATTTATTTATTATTGAACATTAAAAGAAAAGCAACAATTAAGTAGTTACCAAAAGTACATTATTGAATAATGTTATAAATAGTACTAAAATGTTGCTCATCATATAGGGTTTTAATGTTGGCAATTTACTTAAAAAAAAAAAAAAAAAAAAAAAAAAAACAGGCATGATGTTGTGCATTACAAAGTAATTGCTACACGTGTATGCATTTTAATTGCATATATACAAAAGGCATGATGAAAACTTTTGAACCTGATAATAAAAATAAAAAGGCAAAAACTTGATGTTTGATTATTTGGTTAGATTTTGTGAAGAAGGTAGGGACAAAGATGTTTTTGTTTTGATTTGCTTATATACAAGTCAAAAGAATGAAGTTAAAAAATAATTCCAAGTTCTTTGGAAATTCTATCTTATCCACTGGCTTTCATGTCAAAGAAATCTTTCTTTTTAAATTACAAAAAGATACTTCCAACTATTAATAAATAATTAACTTGAAATTACATTTTTTTTGTAACAAAAGAGAAGATTTTTAAAAATAGATTAAAAAAAAAAAAAAAAAAACAAAACAAATAAAATAAAATTGTAACCATTTCCTTGATTCATATTTAGTAACAATAAAGCCCGAAATATCAAAGTAATAAATTGTTATGAGTTAAGAAACTCTTCTTTACTCACCCAGAGAGTGTCAGCAGTGCCACAGACATGGCAGTGCCATTTTTGTGGGTCTAACACAGAATGGTTGAAGGCCAAATTAAATTTATTCACATGTTTGCAGTTATCCATCCTGTACAACAGCTTAGTAAACTAGCTGTTGCCAAACCAATGACAGGACATTCTGAAATTTACAATGAAGGTTAAGGATTCTGCAAACAGACAAAACAAGGGGAGGGAAAAAAGTCCCTAAAAGCGCCTAAAGTATAAACCGAAATGTAAGGCAGAATGAAACTAAAGAATGTCAACTAAAAATCTATATTCCAAGAAAAGAAAATAATTAAAAAAAGGTAATGCCAATTAGAAAATAAAATATGACAAACTGACAAGGTAGGAGAAAAAAAAGTGAATGAATGAATGCTTGTTTGTCCAGTATAAAAACATAAAAAAAAAAAAGAAAAAAAAAAAAAAAAAAAAAAAAAAAAAAAAAAAAGAAAAAAAAAAGAAAGAAAAAAAAGAAAGAAAAAAAAGAAAAGAAAACAATGGATGGTTCACTAACAAGATTGCCACTATCAGTTGTCTAATGCATGCATGTAATATCACTAGGCGAACCCACCTCCACCCAGGCTCTTTATCTCAGCAAAGATGCTCTCATCCTTCATCTACCATAATCACAAAGACAGATGAGGAGTTGAAAATGTGTGTGTGGTGGTGTGGGGGGGGAGCAAGAAAAAGAAAAAGGTGAAAAGAAAAAGACAAAAATAAATAAAGCTATCCTAAGTGGTAACTCCAGTTCATTCAATCTGTGGTTGTGGTAGTAACAGCAGTAGTAAAACTAGAAGGTAGGGAAGAATGGAGTTTGGAAAGTGTGTGTGTGGGTGAGGGGGGACAAGCAGGGGTTGCCAGGGAGATGAATAACCCCTTCTAATGTGATGAACACACACAAACACAAAAGTAAAATAAGAATCAGTAAAGAAAAATAGACTGAAATGAAAACATGAAAAATTAATAAGAGAGAGAGAGAGAGAGAGAGAAAGATAATTGTTTGCTGTCAAAGCAAAGTAATAAGCTAAGAATTAAATTATCTAACTGTTTTTCTACTTCTTCATCTCTATCATTAACATCAAACAGCACATAATTGGTCCAGCAGAATAACTTCACAAAAAAAAAAAAAAAAAATAAATAAAAAAAAAAAGGCACAATAAAAGAAAAACAAAAGACAAAATCAAACAGCACTGAATGAGAAAAGATCTTAAATGGACAGCGAGTGCTGGATGAAGTGCCAGTAGCTTCATAACACTGACCATGTCTCTTGAATGCACTCGAAAAGACGTCCTATTGTTCAATGTGAATAAGATTCTCAGCCAAAATACAATGTCATGCAGTCAAACTGGGACTGCTACAAGGAAGAGCAGCAGTAGCAGCAATATAGGTTCAGAGACAGAATGACAATCATCAGAGAACATCAATCACTCAATTACATCTAATCTCTCTTCATTTTAACTTTGGGATCATTAGGTTTAAAATTCTTCACTCAGCTTTGCAATAATGAAAAAGAAAATAAACAGTATACATACACCTGAAATGAAGCATGTGTTATGAGTACATGCATAGATCTACATACATATATGCACGTGAGATATGTAGCACATGCAAGACTTAATGCATATATGGATAAAAGAGCATGGTTTTGTTGCTAAGAAAGGGTTGCATAAGCATCTCTTATGAACATGTTTTAGAAGAAAAGTGTATATCTTTAGAAGCAAGAATTAAATTACATAATTTTCTGAACAGCAAATTAATTATTGATAACATGTGAAGTTATATTTCACAATGCAATAAATAACTATATTAAGCATAAAAAAGATAAGCTAACCATTTAAAAAACTATTTAAAACAGGAGTTGATTTATTTTTTCTGTAGTTGATAAATGAGAAAATATTAAAAATTAAAGACAAGTTATGATAGCAGAAGACAATATATTCTGATTTGAATGTTAAATGTAGCCAGGTGATAAAGCTTTGTACATTTGATTTAAGAGTTTAGCTCCTCCCTCCTTGCACTATTAATAAAAATATATTTGATTGTATTTGTAACACACGAAGCTTGCAAGAATATATATCCACTAATATAACAATCTAAAGAGAAAGATGAAAATTTAAATTTAAAAATGTATTTGCTATATATGTAAAAACCTACATTTTGTTTTAATAAGTAAATACATGATAAACATATTCTTATTAAATAAAGCATTAACCAAGAATGTGTTCTTTCAGTGTTTGAAATAAGTCTTTGAATGACGATAAATATATAATATGAGAATAACAATAAAGAGAGAAAGAGATAGGAGAGGAAAGAAATAAACAAAAACTTACCCCAAATAAAATTTATTGGTATAGGTGGAATCGAAATTTCTGAGTAATTAAAGTTTAATCCTGGAAATGATTAAATATGAAAAGAGTTAATGAAGCAAGATAACAATAAATGATTATTTCATTAAATAATGTGAAGAATAATTTTAAATCATCTTAGTAACATTCCATTTGCTTTCTAGATAGAATTCTAAGAAAGCAATTTAAAAGTTAAATATCAATCTCAAAAGAACATTTAGAAAAAGAAATTCTGAAATGATTTCATAGGTATATACATAAATATATTTCAACTAAAAAAAATCAAAACATTTATATTCAGAATTGTATAAATTATACTTAAAGAAACCATTTGGATCAAATCAAAACCAACCATTATTTTCATTGTTATATACATGTGTACACTATGATTTATTAAAAATTATCTTAATTAGAAAGTAATGAATAATAAAATAAAAATACCTACCAAGCTAACATCAATAAAGACATATTTGAATAAGAAAATTATCACTAAAAATTCATAACATTTTCTTCAAGACAAATTTGAAATTGTAAAATAAAATCAAACATGGAAAAGAAGTAATTTTTGGTAAGACAATTTTAATAAATATATTTTATTTAATAAACTATGCAATTTTTGGAAATTAAGTCATAGTGACAAAAGTAACAAAATTTCTCTAGAACTCTAAGAAACTGAAGAAAAGCAAAGCATGGCAGTGAAGCATTTAAACAAAGAACACAAGATTTTTATCCTGCAGTAAATTGTGAACAGAAAATGCTATCAAGAGCCCCCACCCTGGCTTTGCTATTACCGGTCTCCACCCACTACTGCACAATGTGGATTAGTCTGCCAGTGTCCTCCTCAGCATCGAATCAATAGATATGAAGTACACTCCAAGATTCCACTATGGAAAATGGTAAATAGTGGCAGAGTTGAACCCAACTTACATCTCAGCTAACTCTCAAAGAATTTTGTTAGTGATAAAAGTGTGAGTGTGATATATATATATATATATATATATATATATAAATAAAACACAACAATTGTAAAAAAAAAAAAAAAACACAAAAAACACAGCCAGAATAATATTTGACATGTCAATGAATGTAAGCAAGCAGATGTTATTCTAATATTTACTTATGAAAAAATAAAGCCAGAGAATTTATCTAAATTTCTCATTTTGTGTAAAAAAAAGTAAATAAATGAAAAAAAAAAAAAAAAAACTTTCAGCACTTAACAAATTTCAATAATTTTTTTTCTATTTCTAACATCAAAGAAACAATGAAATTAAATGCATAATCAATCAAGAAAATTATTATAAAGCCTAGGAAAATGTTTATAGATCTCAGTAGACACATCTATACTCAGACAAATATCAACATGCATTTTTGTTTTAAAGTTTTGAAAGCTTTTATTTTCACTGAGCTGCAATGAATATCAGTAAAAATACATTACTTTATAATTCTTTTTAGATCTTTCTGTTATATTGAATGTTTAAAGCAAATGTTTTGAGAGGCAATGTCTTTATAAAGAATGGATCTTCTTAAGGAACTGCTTCCTTTGTATTGTATTGCAAGAATTGCATGAAAACCATTTTTAATATCAATTTTGTGTGTATCATTGTGACCATTTTATCCAATTTCTGTGCACATCTGTATTTTCTAGTGCATGACTGAAGTATTTACAGTTCAATTATGATATATAACATATCTTTCCTTTAAGTACTGAGGAATAGATTTTAGTTTGTAACCATTCACGGAATTTATAAATAGTTTACAAGAATGTATTTAATGATACTCCATGCAAACACACACCACAAAAAAAGGTTCAGTCAGCTATAATAATAAAATTTAATTTTTCTTTTAAAAATCATGCCTCATAGCATGAAAATCTTGAAAGTGGGAAACTTTCTAAAGTATTGCTTGTCCATAAAAATACAATTCAGATACTTTACAATCTTTTTCAAAGAGAGAATTTAAGAGGCTATGATGTCAAGTGACTATTCCACTCTGACAAATTTTAATAAAGGGTGACACTTTTAGTCACATTTCCCCCTCTACATTATTTTCAAAATAGCATTTTACTATTATTACAATTTTAAACCCCCTTTCCAGGTAGTTTGTGGTCATGAACCGCTTTAATCTGGAAGTTTTATTTTTAAAGAACAACAGTCAGATATGACAGTCAATAAGTCTAGCAGTTGGAGTTAACTTTGACAAGAGAAAAGGGATTATTCAGTTTCACCTTTAAGAGTCTTTTTCTTTTTTTTTTTTTTTACCTATTATTTCTCCCCATTTTCTTTTTCTTTTATTCATTTTTATTTCTCTCCATGTCACAAACGAGGGCATTACACCATAAGCCACAGCAGAGATAAAGAAAGACATCTGATAAGATCCCAAAAGCCAAAAAGCATTGACCTGTAATCTATATAACTACTGATGGATACAGTCACTATCAACGTTTGGTAATGTTACTACAAAGAATACAAAACAGAATCAATTTATGTACTAGGAAATCCAGAGCAGACTATTTGATTCATCAAACACTAAAGATGAAGTTTCATACATGTTTAAAGAATTTTTAAGTGAATCTAACTTAAGCCAATGCACTTTTTTTTCTTTCTTTTACTTTTTAATTATTAAAGACAGGATAGCCAGCATTGCCTGTGTTAAAAATATCACTGTTTACTGGTGACTATTTGATTAAAAAGAAAAGGATTAAAGTTAAAACTGTCAAGTAAACTCTGCCTGAATTTATAATTCTTTCAGACAATATTTATTTATTTATTTTGGGAAGAGAGACAATTCAAAGAAAAATAACTTATTTTTTCTTTCTGAAAACAGTTAATTGAAAGTTACATAAAAATATAGTCCAGTTAAGGGTTTCATTGGACCTCTTTATCAGTTGCATGTGATACTTTCTTATATATTTCCAGTTTTCCATGTATTGAGATATTAAAAAAAAAAAAAAAAAAAAAAATGACCCATGATATTTGTAGTGTTAAAAAAAGGTTTTGCTCATTGCTAGGGTATGTAGCAAAATAGAGTTTCATTTCCCCAATTCAATAATTTTGTCTAGTTTTTGTCTTATTTTCTTTTCCAGTGATCTCATATAGCCTTGAAAGTATGATTCAATATTAGTGATATTTTGAATGAAGCGTTAATCCAAATGAACCCAATTCTGAGTGGTCCATATTAATTTGTGTGAAGAACAAATAGAGAAATAAACATACACTAATATATGACAGATAATCATGTCAGATTGGCTGATAGCTCAAATTCCACTTGGTTATTGCTAATTAATTTCAAATGACTTCTTTGTATATTAAACTGGGTGATAGCAAAGTGAATAGACATGGTATATGAGATTTCAAACTATTAACCAAAAAGTTCATTACCATAAGTAGGTACTTACAAAGATGAAAGTTTATTTCAAATGGAGCAATAAATTACTTCCTTCCCAAAAAGGTAACTTGTACTTTTAAAATCTACAATTTTCACATTTTATATATATATATATATATATATATATGAAATGGACTAATAGGGGGGGATGGGTGGTCCGTTAAAGCTGATTGTCCATAGATGGGAAGGGATTATTTTTGAATTATAAAACCACTATAGTAACTGCCGATAGTTATGATCATAATGTAAATACTATAAACAAGCATATATGGCATAATATATACTTAAAATAGACATATTAATCAAAATAACAAAAATAATATATTTCTCAGTTACTTTCTCACGCATGCGCTAATGTATTGTACTTTATACACTGTACACCCGTCTTTGTTTACAATTGAAAGGCCCGCCACCACCACTAAGTGGTCACTTTAAGAACTAATACAACTCGTTCTGCTAAGCCTGCAAATTTTGAAATACATCACTGACAATTTGAGTTTTTTTTTCCTGCAGATTTTTTTTTATTTTGCTTGCAAATTTTCTCCATTGCATCTGAAGTCTGCATATATATATTTTTAAGTGATCAACCTGCTAGAAACTGCTATCAGAATTAATTAACGCCTTTATCCACTGTGCCATGCTATTGGCACATGGCAGAGAAAAGGGAATATGGCACAGTAGATAAAGGCGTCAGTGACAGGACCCAAAGAGTGTGAGTTCAATACCTGGTTAAGGCGGTGGAGAACTTGGAGAGGGTAATTAACAGGAGATAACTGATAACTGACATCCATTAGACATGGCACGTGGAACTAGAACAGTCTACCCCAGCAAATGAAATAAAGGGTTCAGTTTGACATCCCAACCACCCGAAGAAGGCTGGAGCATACAACAGCTGAAACGTTCTAATAAATATGGCATCAAAGATGAGGACAATAGTCCAAATAATGTAAATAGTGTACTATATAAAGCATTTGATAGAAGACTAAAGTAATTGTAAGCTGAAAACTTAATCATTCTGCTTGAGGCAGCCTTAAATTAAATTTTCAAACTTGATGGACAGCTGCATCAATGTCTATAGAAAACATCAAATAAATAAGTTGTAAAATAAGTATTTAAATGAACCCAGAATTATTATACTAAGTTTTATTTATTTTTTTAATTTGTAGGGGGAGGGGGAGATGAAAACTAATTTATATAAATTCAAAAGGTACTTGTTTAAAGTGGTATATTTATTTTCATAACCTAATTGAAATTTTCTTTAATTCAATTCAAAGATTTTGTGATGCACAATGTTAACTGATGACATTCAAAAGTTAAAATCCAGCAATTATCAAAATGCCCTGTTCTGTTAGTTTCAATTGATTAGAATCTATATTTATGGACAAGTTAAAGAAAAAACTGTTTGTGTGTGCATTATATATATATATATATATATATATATATATTATATATATATATATATATATATATATTACATATTAGTCAACCACATACAAGCCTGTTTCACAGCTCATCAGTATGGCTAGATATCCGATTGCTTCAAGCCAGGATCAAAACTTGACTGATTTGTCATTAGTCAGAGATTCTACCCCTAAGCTGTTGGCACATGGCAGGGAAAGGGAAATTTTATATATATATATATATATATAAAACAAGAAGGG